TCTCATTGAGAAATGATCGCACTTATAAAGCCTCTTGAATCGCTGCCATTGCTTTTACTCAGCCTCACTGGTAGATTTGGCTGCAATTGGTTGATTTTTGGAGCTCCAATTGATTTGTTCCCCTGTATTCTACAAATGAAATCTGTAGCCAGTACTTTACTTTCTATCATCCATATCTCCAGCCCAGTCAGCATCTAAAGATCCATACCGTTTTATACCATCAGCTTCTTTGTTGTAGGACAGCTCCAGATTTTGCTTCCCTTCAAATAACGAAGAACACTCTGTGCTTCCGTCCAGTGCCCGGGCTCTCCAGAAAATGGGAGAGTTGCGTGACAGTAATTAGAGTATTTGGCCTTGTTTGCCTATCTGTATACAAAAAGAAGCGCACAAGCCCTCTGTAGTCCTCACCCTTCATAATCACTGCCTCTACTGACCCAGCTTCAGTGTAGTCTTTTTTGCCACTTGTGTGCTAACATCTGCTGGTGTGGCCACTAGTTTGCAGTTAGATAGCACAAATAACTCTAAGCTGTCGGCGTTTCAGCGTAATTGTTTGACTGTTACCGTCCCAGGTGCCTGCTTGATCTGCAGTCCCATGAACCAGGACAATGCGACTCTGTCATCTAGCTTGAGACTTTCGGAAAACGTTCAATCAATTTGTCATTTTCGTCTGAACGTCTGCACCAAAGATGAAGTCAACTACTTGAACTAGCACATAGATCATTACATCATCTGTTCCCCTTATCCTGAACAAACAGAGATCATTGATGTTTCTAGTGAACCCTTCCTTGAGAACGAATGTGCTCAACGTCTAGTATATGTCTCTTCCAGATTGCCGCAGCCCTTAGAGAATTTAATGCAGCAAGCATACTCGGTTGGTACTGCTGCTGAAGCCCTCTGGCTGCTCCATGTCTCTGATAGAGGAGAGTTTAGCAAGGCTGTCCTAGCATCCATCTGATGGAGTACAAGACTAACTTGTGCCCCCGAAGACAGTAGTATGCTCTTTATTTCGGGTTTACAAGTCAATTCAAGCGTCTCGTTGAAGTCAAGTTCTAACATGTCCATGACATTTTTCACTACATATCAAGCTTTAAACCGCTCTAGATGTAAAATCGCTTGCAAGATCGTGGTTCATCAACAAGTGTCCAACTTACCAAGGCTTCAAAAGATTTCACTTCCAAATTCATGGCTGCCAGCCACTGCTCATTTTCGGGTCCAGGCACTGCTTCTAAATAGCCTGTTGGCTCTTGAGTTCCTATCTTTGAAGCATGGGTATAGGCCAGTCGGTATCGAAAAAGTGGGTTCCTTGTGCCAATTGACCTCTGCACTGGATGCTTAGCAGAATGTGAATCCACTAATTCCTTCTCCACCGGATTCTCTTCATGGGCTCCCACTGAGTATGCAGTATCGCTTTTAATTGGTGTGCTTGATGTTTCTCTGGTCGTCATCGTCGTCGTGATCGTGCTTGATTGTTCAATATCAATTCAAATTTCGTTTAATGGCTTCAGTGTTTGAAATGGCTTATTGCCAACCTTTAAAAGTCTGAAATGAAGCAATCAATGAAAGTCACGCTTCCTGCTCGCACCACTCGTCTTGTCTCCAGATTCATCAATAATTAGGCTTTGCTCTCCTCGTCGTAGCTGATGAACTTGCTTTTCTTGCTCTTTGGATCCAGTTTCCGTCTGTTGCCCAGATCTAGATAGTACACTAGGCAACCGAACACACGCAAGTAGCTCTTTTGGACGGTTTTCCTTTCTGCTACAACATACTGTTGAGTATAAGCACGATGAACTCTTGGCTCACCTGAAAATCTCTGCAAAAAGTATGGCGAAGTTTCACCTCCATTATCAAGCCGCATGCACTGCGGTACTCCATGCTCAGCCACAAACTCCTGGAACTTCTGTGGAGGATCACTCTTTTTCACCAGGTGCTTGACAACAGCCAGCCGACTGAATTCGTCAACGGAACTCGAAGCATACCGTGCCTCATGCATGCTCGGTACTTCAAATGTTTCTTGGACGTCACTGAAGACCCGTTACCCCACTGCCGATGCTCAGCTGTCAGTCTTCTTTGACATTGCTACTATTTACATCTTAGAAGATGTACACATTTTGCAGAAATCTAGCTCGCCCACATAGACAAGTGAAGAAAGATCTTGCATGCTCAGGCTCCCCAGCCGTCGGTGCCACAGTATTGTATCACGGATCTCCTTCTTTGTCTTCGTAATTAGGGTCATCGGGTATCTCTTGATTTCGCACTCCAAAAAAAAGCTAGCCACGCTTCTTTGCAGGTAGCTGTTTCCCATCTGGTTCTAGTAGATGTGAAGCATCTGTGGTAAATATGAAGCTTAACCATCTAACCAAGGCGTGAGCTCGCACACATCGAATTAACACTGTAGCGCGGCAAAAAAAGCACATAGTGTGAAGGCAGATTATCATTGCCCTTAAACTATCCTGAACAAGCCCCTGGTGTGCGTCAGCGCCACAAATTGCATCGACCATGCCGGAAAATCTTTGGACTTTTCACTCAAAGCCGCCAGTTTCAAGTCCACGATTGCGGATTAAAGTATGCCAGCTAAAAGCTGAAATCCCTGACAAAAAAAGATACAAAAAATTAGAAGTCTGGGCCCATAACCTGCTAGGACTCAGAGTTAGAGCAACTAGGATTAAGGGCTGAGGTTAGAGACTTAGACAAAATCTGAGGTTCTAACTGGGGAGTGAAAAAAGGTAGTGATTGTTAAAGAATGATTTGAGAAAAGGAATATAAACTTTATGGCAACTTAAGCATCACAAATTACCAGTTAATTAATTACTGACTAATTAATTAGGCTGTGATCACTACTGGACCTTGTCTGAGTTTAATCATTTCTGACAAGTTGATCTCCGCCAGATTCATCTCTTTAATTAATCCATTTGACCTTGGAGTAGTCTGATCTCAGCACTGATAAGTAGGCTATAATTTTTTTGATAAAATCTTCATTAAAACAAGAATAAAATCTTCATTAAGACAAAAAAAATCGCCTTTAATGTAACTTGATTTATTGAGATGAAAGGAATTTCTTTTTTTTCCGCGTATTTATTATTCAGCAAAACGCACGGTTCAATTTTGCAAATTTGGTGTAGCAAATCTTGAATAAGTAAGCGGTTCGACTGCAATTTTTATGTGGGCGTGCTAATCGACACACATGCTTTTAGGTCGGTCCCCGGCAGAATAATTGGTCTGCTATAAAGTCTAGCACCGGTCTCGAAACACTGATCTTTCATTTCCCCAAAAAGCAACTTGAAATGAGAACATTACATCAATAATGGTCTTTTTGGTGGCAAATATTCATAAGTGCCGCAATTGATGCATTAGGGACCAACATGACCAAAAATGAACAAAGCGGAGATTTTACTGCTGTAACGACTTTCAAACAAAACTAGGATCTCGTGAATTACCCCCCTTCCCCCCTAGCTAGGGCACCTATCTGGTGCTAGGTAAATAAGAACACAAGACATTAAAATGACATGACATTAAGACGACAAATGAGAATTAGAAGTTAGAATATGTAAATTAAACTGTTCGAATTTCTCACAAATACAAAAGGAGAACCTGTGTAGCTTTTTTAAGTCCCGCCAGAAATGGTTGTCGTCTTAACAGCTGTCGTCTCATTTGCCGGACACCAGGGTACCCTTTATAGAATGTAGAAGAAGAAGAAGAATTTATTTCTCCATGTAGTTGATAATACAAGCATCAATTTATTTAAATTATTAAATCAACAACATGTCTTAGCCTTTGAATATTCAAGTCAGTTTCGGAGCTTATACTTAGCATGTGTCTTGTAATGATAAATTCTTCCTTTTTTCTCTGCTTTGCGAAGTATTTGGAGAAAAAAGATCAACCGTACAACCCCCAAAAAAATTGATTTTGGGGGGAGAAAATATGGATTTTTCAGGAAATAACTTTGAGTATACCTAAGATTTATAGAAAGTTAAGTTTATTTAGATAAAATTTGTTAAAAATACGTTAGTTTAGGTAATGTTAGTGAAGATAAAATCATGACAACCAATTTTATGTGCGCTTTTATTGTATTGTAGATTGTACGGTTGATGTCCGAGAAAAAAATTATTTCAAGTGAAAAGAGATATTTTGGGCTACGCCCTGATACGAGCACATACTGGTTGAATTTACGACATGGATTCTGTTCAGTTTCAAACCCAAAACAGGCAGACTAGATTGGCTTCAAATAACTCTTCGAATGACAGTTGAAGAGTTCACTTGCTCATTTAGGAAGTGTGCCCTTAAAAGGAATCTAGCCAACTCCTCGCGAACTGTCCTTGCGCTGTGGCAATTTAATTGAATTACGGGCGCCATGGTGTAAATGAACTCTGGTGAAAATAAACGAAACGCAGAAAGGAGGCCAATAAACCTCGTCGGCGTCGCATTTGTATTGAAAAAAAAAGAAAGTTTTCCTCCTATGATTACAAAAATTCGCCGTCTATTAAAATTTATTTCATAAAACAAGAAAAAATGATTTTTCGGTTATAAGAGGCTTGAGGGTAGGTATAAAATGCATTTGAGACAAACAACATTGTTCCTACTTTTGGAGAATTAGCTTACAAGTTGGCCACTCTGCTTAGTGATCATTTTGCTTTGCAACCACGGCTAATCAATTGACTGCCATGTTGGAGATAGATAAAAGGCAATGACGGAATTTCTATCTTTAAACATGCTGAGATATCTATTCACGCACTTTGATACATACAGTCTTTCAAGCAGAATAACAAAAAAGTCGACACTATGATTATTGCGTTATTAATTTCAAGTCAGAAATCAAACACGCTATCAATTTCAAATTACGGTGTTTGTTTTTAAATAAATAGACAAAAGTATGGATTTTTTGTGCTACGTAACCGAATTTACGCTAGACTTCAGCCAGTTAAAAACTCATTTTTAGTTGATTTGTTGAAAACCGCTTGCAATTGAGCTGGTTATTTTCATGAAATAACCGTATTATGCTTATGCTGTCATTGATCGGATAGACGAATAGCACATTATAGTCATATATAGTCACCACAGAGACGTATAGTCATAGTCAAGATACATTTAGTTGCCCACTTTACTTTAATAGAATCCCCCTGTGAGACTATTTTGCTATTTCCATTTACGACCGAATTTACTTCGCTGAATTTACCTCAAATAATCAGACTTTTCAGACATTTTACTGCGCGAAAAGCCGTGTCTTCCCCTGTCTGATTTTGTGTTAGTAATTTTCAATCTTACTGCGTGTTTTCTTTCATATTATATTATTTCCTATTTCTGTCCGTGACGTGATTTTTGCTACTGCTGCTGCCTTTTACCGTCTTTAGCTTTCAAAACTGGTCGGAACCTAAAGCTTTTGCTTCGCTCTTTCTTTGTATGTGCCGATTTTAAGCTACCTACCTATACTCATAGTCTGATAATAAAATCAAGTCAGTCACAATCTAATTTACTTTGCTCAATAGCAAAGATTTATTTCTAGAAAAACTAACAAAATACTGAAAATACTGACACAATTCAGGTAACTTGAAACTGCTTGATAAATTCTAGCTTCGATTACAAAGCCCCGTGTTTGTGATCTTTGTTATTACAGCTAGAGAGAAGAATTACTCATATTCAAGCTGAGACCCAATTATTTTGTGCGCTCATTTTCAGCCCGATTTTCCGAGGAAATAGAGTGAATAATTTTTTGCATTACATAATACATACCAAGGTGACGTGATCTAATTATGACGTCAGAAGCAGCTCAGTTTTTGGAGGGGGACGGCGGGGACCCCACGTCGTTTCTGTTCAACAATCCACACCAGGTTTGGAAATAGCTAATCTATTCTATCTATAAATCAATTCAAAAAATTTTTAGGTACAAATATGATAGATGGGTCCCAAAAAACTAGATGGAGTCCCTGGATAAAAATGTAAACTCTTCACAATTTTCGAAAAGAGGTTTTGCGATAGTTTTCGTGCGTTTTTGAGATTTTCTTAAAAATGACGGGACCTATATACCATTATTGCTTTTTCTAGGGACCCAACTATTATTATTATTATAATTATTATGATTATTATTATTATTATTTTTATTAATAAAAATTCCACGGGAGAGTCCGTGAGGGTTCATCGACCCTCTGAGATGATTTTCAAGTTGGTAAGTTTCTTATTAATTTTCTGCAGTTGTACTGTACACAATCACAATGCATTTTCCAAGTGCCGGTAACATCGTCATCAAAATATAAAGTGAAATAGTTCCAAAACCATCGAAGAAGGCCTTTCTTGAGAGAACCAATATCTGTAATGTCAACATGACTTGGTGCTAAATTTGCTGGTCGAGTCGAACGAAACCAGAAGTTCTGTTCACATAGCTTCAACTTTGGGCGTTGTACCTGAAACAAACTAGAAGCAATAGACCTTAAATTGAAAAGATTTTGCGTGGGTGAATAACTGATCGCTTTAGCAGCAAAATCGAAATAGTGGGATCCATTCATTAGCTTGGATAAGTATAAAAGATCTAGCATTTGAAGATAATATGGTACTGGTAAATTGTTCAGTTTAATTAGGGCGTCTTTATAATTTTTATGACCAGTGATCCAATAACAAATTCTTTTTTGAAAGGACTCCAATAAACAAGTACTTATGATGTTTGGGTAGAAGCACCAGCTCGAATATGCGATAATAGATAAAATCATACTTTTATACAAGTTCAATTTTGTGCTCATGGAAAGTTTAGGAGATTTTTTTTATTACAAGGAAGGCAGAATTTGCTTTTTTGATACTTTCTGATATAAGAAGATCCCAAGAAAGGTCCTCGGTAATGTAAAGACCCAGGTCTTTGTGAGATTTCAAATTAGTAATTGGAATGTTTTTGAAATATAAATATTTTTGACTTTTCGATTTGAGACTTAGAAAGCAACCAGGGTTGGGAATTTTTTTTAATTGAAAAAATCAATAAAACAGCGTTTTTTTTTATAAAAAACATGTTTTTTGTTTTTTTCTACTGTTTGTTCAGTTCGTGGTAGAAAAATGCAAGTTGCCACATTTTTCCGCCTCCATTTGGTTTCTTAACTTTCCATACGTCCTTCCTGTCGTTGAGAAACATCTTTCCAATCCAGCTGAGTTAGGAACGCCGGAAACGAGAGCCGGTGCAACATCAACCAACGCTGTTTCGAAACCTAGCCTCTTTCCCATTTTTCCACCATGATAACGGTTAACACTTTTGAAATCTTGAAAACAACTTTCATTGTACGGTTCTTCTCGAGTTGTGTACTTAGTGACCTCTCCCATTGCATTTTCGTCAATTGAGCGGATATAAGCGAGAGCTTTTTTCGTGTCATCTGCGTCTAACTTTCTGCCCTCATACCGATGATCTTATAAATATGCGGCAAGAAAAATGGGAGTCAGATAATCGTCTCTTCTTTTTGCTACAAAATGTTTCAGACGATCCGGTGCAGCTTTGTAGAGATCGAGCCAACATTCGAAGCAGTCTCCCAAAACAATTGATTACTTCTGAAGATTGTTCAAATTATTAGTTGCAGGTTCAAGAAAGACCAGCAAATTTTTGTATTCTCTCCTCAGCTGAATTTCCTCGGTATATCGGTATACTTTGTCCGTGCTTTTTGCAACGTTTTGAACGCATAGCGCAATGGATGGAAATTGCTTCTCATAATGAGCGATCAACTTCTTTATGGAATTCCATCTGGTTTCAACAGGCAATGTTTGCTTTGGAATGTCGAGTTTAGTCAGTTCCGCAAGTGCTAAATGACTATTTCGCACAAATTTTGCTATACTTGTTACTTTGGTTGTCACCGATTTTGTTTCAGTCTGACTCACAATGTCTTTTATCAACAAATTGACGGCTTGAGGCTGACAACCAAATGTATGAAGAGTTGTTTCGGAAGAATTTTTTTTCAATTTTCTCAATTTGAACATATTTGCCGCGTTATCAGTTACGAGACAAGATATGACAACTCCCCACTGTTCCTCGCATTTTGTGATTTGCGCTTCACAAATTTCAGCAAGGTTTTCGACAGAGTTGGGCGATCCCGTTGTATCTAATATATCAGCCAGATAAGTACGGTTGGCTGTTGACAAAGCAACCCTATAATTGGGTTAGTGGTGACATTTGACCATCCATCAATAGACAAAGTTGCGAAGTTGCCCTGAATACATTTCGCAATTTTTTCTTTATCAGTTTTGTAAATTTCGTCGAGAGGAGGGTCAGCAACTTGTTTTCTTCCAGGAATCGATATGCCTGGGCGCAACAGCATAATCAGCTTCTTAAACTCTTCATTTTCAACTGCTCGGAAGGGTGCGTTCAGAGCTATAAGAGCCCGGGTGATTTGAATTTCCGTTTGCTTTGCTTTGTCTCAATGATCTTTCGTTCTTTGTACAAACGTACTGCATTGATATTCATATTTGGTACATTTTGCTTTTTCAGTTGAACCTGGCGTTTGAATAAGGCAGAATTTGTTCCCTATTGCATCTTTTGTTCGACCCATATGTTCATATGTTGATCTGAAAGATAAACGCACGTTAAAACAGTGTAACAGAAGTAAGTAGTTAGTTAGTTAGTGAATGAATGTAATTGAGTTAACGTCTGCTTTAAAACAACTCTATTTTATCGTGGAAATTCGTTTTTCATGTGTAAAGGCTCTTCAAATTATCGATACAGTTTAGACTTTGCCTCAGAAATACTGAGCAATATACGTATACGTCATATTATTTAAGCAAACAACCGCATCTTATTAGGGATTGTAGAGCAATTGGGAAGGGCAGGCGACTGCAATTGGGATAGGAAGGGATGGCGCCGGGGCTCGACTCCCTGCCTATACTAGCTTTTTACGATAAAAGTTTTAAAATAAAAAACACTGTTTTTTTTACTGTTTTAAAACGTGCTTTTTTGCCTTGTTTTAAAACATGTATTAAAACATTCCCAACCCTGAAAGCAACACTTGAGGGCATTGAAAGGCATTTTGTTCTTTACGCTCCAAGTATAAAGGATATCTAAATCTGTTTGAAAAAACCGTTCAAGTAAGTTTAAGGCAATGAACATAATATTGGTGAGCTGACAGTACACTGTAAAGGTAAGTCATTGATGAATATTAAAAACAACAAAGGCGAAAGATTTGACCCTTGAGGGACACCACTGGTTACAACAATTAACTTTGACAAGTAGTTTCCAACTTTGTTTCCGACCGCTAAGATAAGAACTGAACAAGTTTAATAGCTTCCTTCTGACACCAAAATCAGAAAACTTTTGAAGTAAAATTCCAATGTCCACTGTCAAAAGCCATCTCAAAGTCGGTATATACAACATCCGTCTATTTCCCCTGTTGAATTGCTGAATAAATTTCATCTAAGTAAACTAAAAGATGAAGTGAACTTGAGCGTTTTTTCCTAAAACCAAATTGAGAATTATGAAAAAAGGGTTTGCAAAAATTATACAGCGATAAAAAAACCATCGCAGATTTTTAAAGGTAGTGATAATAAAGAGACTTTTCGATAGTTTTCTACTTTAATTTTGCTGCCCTTTTTATGTATTGGAGAAATTATTGAATATTTCCATGTTTCTGGATATGCTCAAGATTGCTTAATTTCTTAAAAAAATTGATTTAGTGAACGGCAGATTGTCTTAGCACATCAAGAGAATCAAAAAGGTGGAAGATAATGCGGAGCACCGGCTTTTTCAATTTTTAGGTTTGAACAAAAATCCCTAATTAAGGACTCATCGATAATAAAATCATCTATAATTGGACAATTTGATATAGAATGATGGTTTATTTGATATTGAGAAGATTTGATATAGTTTTCTGCGAAAAAATTAGCCAATAACTCAGCTTTCTTGAGGTTAGTCGAGGCTTCGCAAGGTTGACGGTAGCGGTGATTTTTTTAGAGACCTATAATATTTAAACAAAGCATTTGTGTTTCTACCATCTGCTAGTTGTTTCTCGTATTCAATCTTGTCAATTTGAAGAGATCTCCGACAAATTATAGATCATGCAAGACACTTGGGTTGTTTAGCACCATATTTTCGAGAAATTGTTTCAAGTCGCATTAGACCAGCAATCTGGTTGAAAACCGGATTGAATAATAATGTTGTTTAATTTTTCAAAATCCCCATTACAATAGCTAAAATAGACATCGCGGTTTTATTTTCGAAGTAAAATTTTTTCATTAATGGATACTGGCTTGTATGGCAAAGTGGTCTGACATATCTAGATTCTGTAATGGCAATATTTCTCCAATTTCAATATCTTTGGAAGTAATAAATAAATCTAATAAGCTTGAGTTTGTGGTGAGGAAAGTAACGTGTTGTTGAAAGCTGTTTTCATCCATAAATTCGAGTAAAGATGATTCTGATTCCGTTTTTGTGGAAAAATTAGTCCAGTCAATCCCATAAAACTTGAAATCGGCATTAAAGATCAGGTGGTCATAAGTCAATTTGCGGATAAAAATTAAGCATTCAATTGGATTTTTTGTAATGATATGTTGTAGGGACTGTCATACTTCCTCGGCAATCATAATCCAATCGATGGGCCGGCCTCCTGTTCAGGGGCGGATCTAGGATGTTCTCGGGGGGGGGGGGGTTGGGTTTTCAAAAGATTTCGTAAATGTTGTTGACCTTTTTCTTAGGTCGACCGAACTCGTTTGGATTGGACCATATTGTTCTGCGCTTCCAGAAACATAAATTTTGAAGAAAAAAAAAATAGGTCAAACAAGCCGTTTTTGGGCACTTTCTGGAACATTTTGACCAAAAAAACTGCGGTTTTTTTGGCGCCCGCTCTTCTTAAAAATAAGTTCATATTGGAACCAAAGG